ACCCCCGAGAAAGTTTTACATTTTTAAAAAAGACAGTTGGGAACCCCGAGATCGTTTCACATTAAAAAGAAAGATATTTGCAGCCCCCTAAAATGTTTTACTTTTTAAAAAAATTTAGTTGGGAGCGCCGAGAAGGTTACACATTAAAAAGAAAGATATTTAGGGCCAACGAGAAAATTTTACAATTAAAAAAATACAGTCGGACCCCGAGAAGATTTTAGTTGGGACTGCCGAGAAGGTTACACATTAAAAAGAAAGATATTTAGGGCCAACGAGAAAGTTTTAGAATTAAAAAAATACAGTTGGGACCCCCTCGAGAAGGTTTTACATTTTAAAAAAGACAGTTAGGACCCCCGAGAAGGTTTTACATTTTTATAAAAGACAGTTGGAATTCCCGGGAAGATTTCATATTAAAAATAAAGACATTTGGGGCCCCCGAGAAGGTTTTACATAAAAAAAAAACAGTCGGGACACCGAGAAGGTTTCATATTCTCAAAAAAAGATATTTGGGGCCGCCGAGAAGGTTTTACATTCTTAAAATAAGATATTTGGGGCCCTCGAGAAGCTTTTACATTTTTAAAAGCACAGTTGGGATCCCAGATAAGGTTTCATATTAAGAAGAAAGATATTTGGGGCCCCTGAGAAGGTTTTACAATTCAAAAAAGACAGTTGGGACCCCGAGAAGGTTTCACATTCTTAAAAAAAGACAGGTCAGACCCCCGAGAAAGTTTTACATTTTTAAAAAAACAGTTGGGAACCCCGAGAACGTTTCACATTAAAAAAAAGGATATTTGCAGCCCCCTAAAATGTTTTACTTTTTAAAAAAATTTAGTTGTGACCGCCGAGAAGGTTACACATTAAAAAGAAAGATATTTAGGGCCAACGAGAAAGTTTTACAATTAAAAAAATACAGTTGGGACCCCGAGAAGATTTTACATTTTAAAAGAGACAGTTGGGACCCCCTCGAGAAGGTTTTACATTTTAAAAAGACAGTTGGGACCCCCGAGAAGGTTTTACCTTTTTAGAAAAAGACAGTTGGAATCCCCGGGAAGATTTCATGTTAAAAATAAATACATTTGGGGACCCGGAGAAGGTTTTACATTAAAAAAAAACAGTCAGGACACCGAGAAGGTTTCATATTCTTAAAAAAAGATATTAGGGGCCGCCGAGAAGGTTTTATGTTTTTAAAAAAAAGATATTTGAGGCCCTCGAGAAGCTTTTACATTTTTAAAAACACAGTTGGGATCCCAGAGACGGTTTCATATTAAGAAGAAAAATATTTGGGGCTCCCGAGAAGGTTTTACAATTCAAAAAAGACAGTTGGGACCCTGAGAAGGTTTCACATTCTTAAAAAAAGACAGGTCAGACCCCCGAGAAAGTTTTACATTTTAAAAAAAGACAGTTGGGAATCCCGAGAACGTTTCACATTAAAAAAAGATATTTGCAGCCCCCTAAAATATTTTACATTTTTAAAAAATTCTGTTGGGATCGCCGAGAAGGTTTCACATTGAAACGAAAGATATTTGGGGCCCCTGAGAAAGTTTTACAAATAAAAAAAGGCAGTTGGGACCCCCGAGAAGGTTTTACATTTTTAAAAAAGACAGTTGGAATCCCCGGGAAAGTTCCATATTAAAAATAAAGACATTTGGGGCCCCCGAGAAGGTTTCATATTCTTAAAAAAAGATATTTGGGGCCACCTAGAAGATTTCACATTCTTAAAAAAAGATATTTAGGGCCCTCGAGAAGCTTTTACATTATTAAAAACACAGTTGGGATCCAGAGAAGGTTTCACATTAAGCCGAATTATATTTGGGGCCCCCGAGAAAGTTTTGCAATTAAGGAAAGACAGTTGGGACCCCGAGAAGATTTCACATTAAAAGGAAATATATTTGGGGCCCCCGGGGAGGCCTTAACTTATAAAAAAATTGTTGGGACCCCCGAGAAGATTCTACATTTTTAAAAAAGACATTTGGGACCCCCGAGAAGGTTTCACATTAAAAAAAAAAGATATTTGGTGCCCCTGAGAAAATTTTACATTTTTAAAAAAGACAGTGGGGGCTCCCGAGAAGGTTTTATATTTTTAAAAATATAATTGGGACCACCCAGAAGGATTCACATTTAAAAAAAGCAGTTGGGACCCCCGAGAAGGTTTCACATGGTAAAAAAAATGTTGGGACCAAAGAGAAGATTTCACATTCTAAAAAAGAAACAGTTGGGACCCCCGAGACATTAAAAAAAAAATTTGGGACGCCCGAGAAAGTTTCACATGGTAAAAAAACATTTGGCGCCCCCGAGAAGGTTTTAGATTTTTAATAAGGACAATTGCATTTTTAAAAATATAATTGGGACCACCCAGAAGAATTCACATTAAAAAAAACAGTTGGGACCCCCGAGAAGGTTTCACATGGTAAAAAAAAAATTGGGACCCCCGAGAAGGTTTCACATGGTAAAAAAACATTTGGCGCCCCCGAGAATGTTTTACATTTTTAAAAAAGACAGTTGGGATGCCTGAGAAGGTTTTACTTTTTTAAAAAAAGATAGTTGGGACCCCCGAGAAGGTTTTAAATTTTTGGAAAAGACAAAAAGACCAAAAAGGTCTCTCATTAAAAAAAGAACATTTGGGACCCCTGAGAAGCTTTTACATTTTTTAAAGAAACACTTGGGGCCCCCGAGAAGGTTTCATATTAAAAAATATACATTTGGGCCCCCGAGAAAGTTTTACATTTTTAAAAAAGATAGTTGGGACCCTCGAGAAGTTTTCACATTCTTAAAAAAATACATTTGTTGCCCCCGAGAAGGTATTACATTTTTAGAAATGACAGTTGGGATCCCAGAAAATGTTTCACATTAAAAAAGGGACATTTGGGTTCCCTGAGAAGCTTTTACTTTTTTAAAAAGGCACGTGGGTCTCCCGAGAAAGTTTTACATTTTTAAAAGAGACAGTTGGGACCTCCGAGAAGGTTTCCCATTAAAAAAAAGATGTTTTGTACCCCCGAGAAGATTTTACATTTTTAAATAAAGTGAAGTAAAGTAAAGTAAGGTAAATCTTTATTTGCACCATATTACTTACAATTTGTGCACGTCATAAATAATATTGTAATAATACACGTCAACATATAATCTATATACAGTGGAGAAACACAATGATAACATTCAATGTATAACTAACAAAGCACACAAGATATAAAAGACGTGTTAAAAGGTAAGCTGGCTTGTAATATATTCCTCTATACAATAATACGCACCAGTTATAAGCGCGGCTTTTATTTTTTATGTAAAGAATATTAAGAATATTTTGAAAGAGTGCAAAGTAAGCCAGTTTTACGTCTTTAAAAGAAACTATTTTTATAAGGTTTCTCAGCAAGTATACAGTTTTTGAGAGTTTTCTAGAAATTTCTACGTTAACTTAAGATCAAAAGTTATACTTACCTAAAAATGATACTTTATTATTTGGGGTTGGAGGCAAGTAGAAACACCACTTTTGATATTTTAGTCATGTTAAGTTTTAGTTTACTGACTGCAAACCAGTCAAATGCTTGGGACTGAAATTCCTCCATCAATATCATCAAATCATTGATGTTGTTGCTAGATACACAGAAGGTTGTATAATCTCCATGAAGTATTGTCTTGAAATTTTTCACGTGAAGAGTAGAAACAGTAACTGTCCCAGGATAGACCCTTGAAGTACTCCATGTTGAACTCTTTCTTTTTCTGAAAACTTTGCATTGAAAAATGTTACTTGATATCTATTACTTAGATAATTGTCTAAAAGTTGAATGGTTGACTTAATTAGACCATAGATATTCTATATTTCTATTTTTACTTCCCGAGCGTAAGGAGGTAAAAATAGAAAATATAAGCCCCACCCACCCACCCGATCGTAAATGTAACGATTTATTTTATTCGTCGTGAGGCGGGGGCGGAGCTTAATTGCAATCGTCATTTTTCTCCAAGAAATTGCCATGTGGAACATATTCTTAAGTAATAGTCTTGTGCAAAGGACACTATAACAATTATTATCGTTAAGTAAAAAAGGACGCCAAAGATTAAGCCCCACCTACACCCGCCCCGTTCTCAAATATGATGAATTTTTCATTCGTTGTCACACCGAGGGACCGAACATAATTGCAAAATCGATATTTCCCTTCGAAGTTACCATTTTAAACATGTTGTAAGTTTCTTGTTGTGGAAACAAAACTACGTATATTAAGAAAAGTGTAAACCCCGCCCACCCGCCCTATCTTAATCCCCATTTCTCTCCAAAAAAATTACAATGTGAAACATCCTTTTAAGTAATTGTGTTGTGCAAAGAAAATTATATGTATTAAGTAAAAAAGAAAGCCAAAAATAAGATTCTTGTTGTGAATAAGACAATGCGCCACCGCATTACGCTGTTGATATAGGGTGACCAGCTAACTGTTCCGTTTTAATGCCACTAGACTTTTTAGACCATCAGACTTTTGCTCTTTTTGCTTTTATTTCAAGCTCGGAAAATCCGATCAAAGAATAAAAAACGGCACACGTTGGCGTGTTCGCTTTTCCGGTTTCTCTCCTATTTTTTCAAAAAGCTCCTTAATCTCGTTCACTATTAAAGAAAAAGGAAACTGCAAATCACGAAAATCCGCGTCTGGAAAAACCCGGAAAATAAATAACGGCAACGCCAGCCGTGATTCAACGTAACTGTTATGGATTTTTGGGTGCCGGTGCAGCTTGCACATCACCGCATAAGCGCAACTCCTGGAAGCTCCGCGCCTTCCTCCCGCTTCGCAATTAATGTATGTGGGAACACGGCCGTTAAAGTCGTCCTTCTATTATTCAAAAGATTTCATGGGAATATTTTCGTAATGACCTCAATTTAGCGGTCGGCATATTTTACGAGCTCGGAGGTGTGTTTATCGGCAACGAAAATCCCGCAGTAACCACCCCCAGCGAACGTCCGTCTAGACAATGGGACAGGCGCTCAAGCAGCTTGAAAATAAACCGTACGTCAAGCGGTGGTCGCCGTGTTTCTCCATCAAAATAGCTTTATTGTAGGTACACATCGTATATGACAAAAATAGCCCGAAATTATTTTAACGCGGAAAGTGTTGTGTCAGTCGGGAGAGTCTTGGTGGACAGAGTGCAAGCAAAGGTATAGCGGGTCGACGGCGCGAGCGCCACGACGGAGCGGTTTTCCACCAGTGTTTCCTAGTTTTCCCTCAGTGCTTTTCCGGTACATCACACAAAACGCGTGTTAGACAGTGACCGCGCACTTGCAAAAACTTACATGGAACTAATGCCGCTTTTTCACAGATGACGTACACGTGAAGGTGAGTGCCCCTTTTTCGACATTATCCTGCGCCAGGATTAATTTTGCAAAAATTCGCTTTCGCAAAATTTATTGATCAAAGGACGCTTTAGCACGAGAATCGATATTTTTAACGTTTTTACCGGTCGCGGACACGGGGAGAGACACTTTGACCACGGTGGTGGTCAGACTTGCGGTATTCCGCGGCTTCTTTTTTTAGTTTCGTTATTTCTAACCCAGTTTTGGGTTATTACGGCATCAAAAATACTCCGAGAGTTACCCAGAGCGAAACTTGCTGTGTTTTCGAACGTTGGCAAGTGTCTCTGCTTTTATTTACGTTTAATTGCGTCATTTTAAAACAGTTTTCGCATTTCTGAGGGGTTATTGTTCTTCAATCAAAGTTGGAAAGATTGGAATTAGTCATGGAAGTCGATTCATCGATTTCGGAGATAAAATTCGCGTATGAGGAAATATACAGAGCGATTTAAATCCGGCGATTTGTTTTTTTTTTTTGGAATGAACGATACTTGTTTCAGAGTGCTTCAAACAAATGAGTTTGATAAGACTTTGCTCTTGACTTTTTTTTTTTTATTAAACCAATCGATTATTAAATGTTTTTCAAAATTTTCCATTAGAAATGATCCGCGCTTGTCACACAACACATGTTTTAACATTGAAAACGATCTTTCAACATCGACAGAGGTTATTGGAGCAAATTTTATAGTCTCTATTTTATTTAGATTTATACCCACATTTACAAATTAAAACCAATTTTTTTTCTAAAACAGACGTAAATTTCTGAAAAACTTTTTCACCTATTTTACCCTAAACATTGGACTGGAAAACAATTTGTTACAACCTGAATAGAATCTACCAGTGTTAAAAAAAATGTATCATCTATATAAAAATTAGCTAAAATAAATGTCAATCGGGATGCTAATTCTGTTTTATCAAAAATTATTTTAGATTCTTTAGTATCATCTGAGTAATAACATCATTTATTATTGGAAATCGATTTCTAATTTTCTCAGCCACTCTATTTATACCATGAGCTAAGCATGTAATATGGATTAAGCGAGGAAAAAATATTTTTACGTTTGATGAAGCTTTGCACATGTATGTAGCAGCATGTCATGACATTAATATCCAGTTTTCAACTAGAATTCGTTCCGGAAGAAAAAAGTTCGTTACATCTTCATGAATAAACCTTGTAATGGTATTATTATTATTTGTCTTTTCCAAAGCTTTTGTGTTAATCAAATATGAAGCGCCACATTTTTCACTGGTCAAAGTTCCAATCAACAAATTTGCGACATAATGTCCACATGAATCGGTTTAGACTCGAAGTTCACTTGTCAGTACCAAAATAAAGATTGACATTTTGCCTATTTTTCTTAATATACATAGCGATCTTTTCACACCAAATAACTTAAAACATGGTTAAAATGGTATATTTTTGCAAGGAAATATGAATATTTCCTTTTACAAATTTTCCAGTTTAAACATATTTTAAGTTTCATGTTGTGAAAAGAAGTCTACACATATATTAAAACAAGAAGGAAAAATGTAAGCCCGCCCACCCGCCCTGTCTCAATTGTGATGAATTTTTTATTCGCTGTGAGCCAATGGGGAGGAGCTTAACTGCAAAATTCCTATTCTTTACAAGAAATTAAAAACATGTTTTTGAGTGATGTGTTGTTCAAAGAATACTATGTAAATTAAGAAGAAATAGCAAAATATAAACCCCACCCACCCACCCCATGTCTATTGTGATGATTTTTTTAAAATTTAAACACTAAAAACACGTTTAAAATTTTAATATTTTTGTAAGCAAATATGGATGTTGCAATTAGGGCCGCCGCTAGTTCTGTCCACGAATAAAAACTTATTCATTACTATTTAGATCAATGCAGATATGGGTGGCGCTTAATCTTTGGTTTTAATTTTTTCTTAATATACACAGCATTCTTTGAATAGCACGATACACAAAAACATGTCTTACATGGTAATTTCTTGTAGAGAAATAATACGGACTTTGCAGTTTAGCTCCGCGTTTGACTCACGATGAATAAAAAAAATCATCAGAATTGAGACAGGGCGGGTGGGTGGGGTTTATATTTTTCCTTTTTTTTCTTAATATACATTGCCATTTTTTCACAGCAAGAAATTTAGGACATGGTTAAAATGGTAAATTTTTGGAAGGAAATGTGGATCTTCTAATTATGGGACGGAGCTTAACTGCAAAATCAATATTTCCTTATAGAAATTTTCCATTTTAAATATGTTTTAAGTTTCATGTTGTGAAAAGAAGTCTACACATATATTAAAACAAACAGGAAAAATGTAAGCCCGCCCACCCGCCCTGTCTCAATTGTGATGATTTTTTTATTCGCTGTGAACCAAGAGGGCGGAGCTTAACTGCAAAATTCCTATTTCTTTAGAAGAAATTAAAAACATGTTTGGAGTAACGTGATGTTCAAAAAACACTACGTATATTAAGAAATAAAGGCTAAATATAAACCCCGCCCGAGCACCCCATCTCTATTGTGATGATAATTTTTTTATTCCTAAAAACTAAAAACACGTTTAAAATGGTAAATTTTTGTAAGGAAATAATAATATGGATTTTGCAATTAGGCCCGCCCCTAGGTCTGACAACGAATGAAAACTTTATTACTGTATAGATCAGCGCAGGAATGGGTGGAGCTTAATCTTTGTCTTTAATTTTTATTAGCATACGTAATATTCTTTGATTAACACAATACTGATAAGCGTATCTTACATAGTAATTTCTTGTAGAGAAATATAAGAATTTTGGAATTAAATTCCTCCTTTTTGGCTCTCGACGATTACAAAATAAATCGTCACAATTGAGATAGGGTGGGTGGGCGGGGCTAATATTTTGCCTTTTTTTAATATACGCAGTTGTTTTTTCAGAACGAAAAACTTAAAACATGTTTAAAATGGCAAATTATTATTCTAGACAAATATTGCAATCAAGCCCCGCCCCTCGATCTGACAACGAATTAAAAATTCATCATAATTGAGAATCGAGGTGGAGGCGGGTATGAGTGGGGCCTACCTTTGGCTTTATTTTTCTTAATATACATAAGATTTTTTGCACAAACCGATACTCAAAAACCTGTTTTTAATTTTTCCTACAGAATTAAGGATTTTGCAGTTTAGCTCTGCTCCATTGACTCACGATGAATAAAAAAAATCACCAGAATTGAGACAGGGCGGGTGGGCGGGCTTTATATTTTGCCTTTATTTTCTTAAAATACATAGCAATCTTGTCATACCAAGAAACTTAAAACATGGTTAAAATTGTACATTGGTGTAAGGAAATGTGTATTTTGCAATTATGGGGCGGAGCTATATTGCAAAATCGATATTTCCTTATACAAATTTTCCATTTTAACATATTTTAAGATTCATGTTGTGAAAAGAAGTCTACACATATATTAAAACAAAAAAGAAAAATGTAAGCCCGCCCACCCGCCCTGTCTCAATTGTGATGATTTTCTTATTCGCTGTGAACCAGGAGGGCGGAGCTTAACTGCAAAATTCCTATTTCTTTACAAGAATTTAAAAACATGTTTTTGAGTAATGTGTTATTCAAAGAATACTATGTACATTAAGAAAGAAAGGCAAAATATAAACCCCGCCCACCCACCCGGTCTCTATTGTGATGATTTTTTTATTCTTAAAAACTTAAAACAAGTTTGAAATGGTAAATTTTTGTAGGGAAATATTGATTTTGCAATAAGGCCCGCCGCTAGGTCTGTCAACGAATGACAACTTCAGTACTATTTAGATCAGGGCAGGCATGGGTGGGGCTTAATCTTTGGTTTTCATTTTTTCTTAGTATACACAGCGTTCTTTGAATAACACAATACTCAAAAACATGTCTTACATTGTAATTTCTTGTACAGAAATAATACGGATTTTGCAGTTTAGCTCCGCCCCCTTGACTCACGACGAATAAAATAAATCATTACAATTGAGATAGGGTGGGTGGGCGGGGTTTCTATTTTGCCTTTTTGTCTTAATATACATAGCGATCTTTTCACAGCAAGTAACTTAAAACATGGTTAAAATGGTATCTTTTTGCAAGGAAATATGGATATTTCCTTTTACGAATTTTCCATTTTAAACATATTTTAAGTTTCATGCTGTGAAAAGAAGTCTACACATATATTAAAGCAAAAAGGAAAAATATAAGCCCGCCCACCCGCCCTGTCTCAATTGTGGTGATTTTTTATTCACCGTGAACCAAGAGGGCGGAGCTTAACTGCAAAATTCCTGTTTCTTTACAAGAAATTAAAAACATGTTTTTGAGTAACGTGTTGTTCAAAGAATACTACGTATATTAAGAAAAAAAGGCAAAAATTGAAAGTAGCCCCACCCACCCGATTTTCTATTTTTGGTCACTCATTTTATTGGACGAAAAGTGCAACTATGAAGATATAATGTGCGACACCGATAATTAAAAAAAATATAATAAAGTTTCAAAGATTACATTTTGAACATCTCGATTTTTATCCAATGTGACATTCATTGCTTTATTCTGACATCCTTCAATTGAGATAGGGCGGGTGAGCGGAGCTACTTTTTGCCCTTTTTTCTTAATATGTGTAAAGTTTGTCCAGAATTATAAGAATACTATGGACTTCCAACGTTAATTCGATTTTCTGGATAAAAGTATGATTATTATTTATATAATTTTTAAAGCTCATTTTTTTTTTCAAAATATGCCGCATTTTAAGGAATATCAATTTTGCACAAAATCGGAGCCTTGTTGAATTTTCTATTGCGATACGATATCGTGGGGTATTGCCAGTTCAAAAACTTTCTCTAATGGTTTGCTTGAATGAAGCTAAATTAGACAGATGCAACACTTTTGGACAGAGTTAGTGAAAATTTCGTACTATTAACGGAGATTTTTTCACAATTTTATCACACTTACTGGCAGCAAACTCAGTTTTCTTTTCCCAAAACATTATATTTTTGGCGAGTTGC